ATTATTTAAAATATATAATACCCGTTCATGACCATGAGCTCAGTGAAACACAGCCACATTGAAGGTGTATAGTAAGGGTATTGTGGTCCCTTTTTATAGCTGAGGAGACTGGGGATCAGAGCATGTTAGTGACGTCCCCAAGGTCACATGGGTGGTATTGGGGGAACCAAGAGTCTAACTCAGCCCCAGAAGGCTGAGTTCCCTTCCCCCAGCAGTGCCTTGCCTGATCGTGCTGAATTGACTGGTTTGCTGACTTGTCTTGAATGTTTGTTTCATGCAAACCCTAGTTTGCCTTCTCTGCAGTTGCCCTATCATCTCCCCAAGACTTGCTACTTTTCCCGGTGGTTAGGATCTTTGGGTCCCAGCGACTATTCATATTCGTAGTCTCTCTGTGTCTCTCTGTCTGTCTCTCACTGTCTTTTCTTCTTTTTCCATCCCTTTCCTCCCCGCCTCTCCAATCTCTGCCTCATTTACTTGGCCTGCCTCTGACTGATTCCTATGAAGGGTTGTGCTCCTGGAAAGCTGCCCTGTGACATTTTGTCCCTTTTGTGTTCCTGAAGACAGTGTTTCCCTGGGGGCCGTCGGGGGCGTGGGGGGGCAGGGAGCCCAGCCATGGTGTCAGGCACAGAGCTCTGGCTCTGAGCACGGGTCCTTCCTCCTGTAGGGCTGCCTCCTGCATATGGGTGTGTGCGTCTCTGCACACACAGATGGGCTCAGATGAGACTGAAGCATTGGCTCCTCTGAACGACAGAGAGCTCAGGCAGTGATTGCTCAAGCTGGTTTGCTGTGAGTTCCTCACTGTACGGTTCCCTCATACCCTTGCTGTATGAATCTCCTGTGGCTGCTGTAACAAATAACCACAAACTTGGTGAGTTAAACAACACACATTTATTATCTTATGGTTCTGGTGGACAGAAGTCCTCAAAGCAAGGTGTCAGCAAGTTTCTCTGGAAGTTCTAGAGAAGAAGCCATGTCCTTGCTTTTTCAAGCTTCCTGAGGCCACTACATTCCTGGGTTTATAGCCTCTTCCTCCACCTTTAGACCAAGACAAGCAACATGGTATTTCACCCTGCCCCTTACCATTACCTCTCCATACTTCCACCATTACCTCTACTCCCAACTCCAGCTCTTATAAGAACCTTGCAAATGCACTGAACCTCCCCCATAACCCAGGATAATGCCCACATCTGAAGATCTTTTACTTACATCTGCAAAGTTCCCTTTTGCCACTTAAAGTAATATATTAACCATTTGGCGGATTAGGGCACAGATAACTTTGGAGCCATTATGCTGCCTACTACACTTGCAAAGTGACATGGGGACGTCCTTTCTCTCTGGCCTCTCAGTACCCTTCTCCTTGGGAGACAGAAGAGCAAAGAGCTCTGAGAAAAGCTGTTAGATTCACACGCTGCCCTGCTAGCTGTATTGCCTTGTTGTATTAGACCTCGCTGTCTAATGTCCTCATCTCTAAGATGGATCAATAATGTCCCACAACCTCTTCACACAGTTGTGACCCCTGCAATGCCCTGGCTGACCAAGCATCACAACTGGTGACTATTTGCCACCAAAGTAAATAAGGGAGTCTGTTATAATTAGGGATGCCACATAGAGTAAGGGCTATAAACTCGCAGGGCCTTGGTCACATTCCCCTCTTACCCCTTCCGAAGTGAATGGCCTCGGGCTGGTGGTGTTAAGCATCCCAGTCTCAGTTTTCTCATTCGTAAAATGGAAATAAAACCACAACATCCTGACATAGGATTGGGGTGAAGATTGATAATTATGGGATGCACAGGAGTCACCCAGAGGCCAGGGGGCAGCCTTGATTGTAGCCATGACTACTGCCATCCTTTCCCAGCCTCCCTGGGATGCCTGGGAGTCTTAATGGGCTGTTCAACAGAACAAGAGCAGGACAAGTGACTGAGTCCAGGGCTCCTAAGAATCTCTTTGCAATGCTGCTCCAGCCTTTCACGAAACCTCAGGGGGCAGCAGAGCCTGAGGACTCTGGTTTCAAGGAGTCTCCCTGCTGCATCATCCTGGAGCTATCAGAGCTTGTAGCAGGTGCTGATTCTTTGAATGGTTTTCCAGGAGGACTCAGGACAGAAGACAGAAGTGGAGATGGTGATCAGGGTGGCGGGGCAAAGTCCCCCTGAGGAGGCAGAGCTAGTTCCTAGAGGACACAGTCGCCAGGGAGCGTGCAGAGCTCTGGTTTTCACCATATTATTATTTTTTAATTTTGCTGCAAAGCCTTATTTCAATGAAGGCTTGGACAGATTCCCAGTATGCAAAATCAGTTAAAAGCACAACTGTTCTAGTGCAAACCAGGCTGAGGGTCAGTTCAGGCCCCCTTTTCACTTCCTGGGGGGAGCTGGGAGCGGCACTAGTTTGGGAAAAAATTAGCAGGGTGGTAAAGACACAGGCTTTGAGTCAGATGATCTGAGATTAACAGCCTGCCCAGGAGATCCTCGAGGCTTCACCTCCCCTGTCCGAGCCTTAGTCTTCTCATCCCAAACAGGAGCAATATTAGCATCCAGTTCATGGAGTTGTAAAGACTGGAGTTAGTGTTTGGTTAGCACCCTGCCAGACACACTGAGTGCTGAGGCATTGAACAGGTGGTAGCTAGGTTCATTCTCTGAGCAAGCTGTGGGTGGGACAGAAATTCCTTGGGACTAAGGAACAAGGTGCTAGGAACGATTTGTGTCCTGATTCCACCACTGGGATCCAGGGTGGCTTTTGTTGCACTCTGATCTTCTTAAATGACTACTCAAATGTTTATTGAGGGCTTACTATGTGACGGGACTGTTCTAGGTTTGAGAACATGGGTCCAGGCATCTGAACATCTTTGATTCCACACTCCACTAGCTCTTCAACTGTGAGCAAGTCACTACCCCTCTCTGGCCCTCAGTTTCTCCATCTGTAAAATGAGGGGACTATATTTATGTCATGGGGTCTTTCCAGAAAATATTCAATGAGATCTTGCCAAAAATAAAATTGAAGAACACATTTGAGCTTGACTCTGAGAGACAAGTATTCTGGTGCATGGGTTTTAGAACCATACAACCCTGGCTTTAAATACTGTGCCTACCACTTACCATGTACCTTTGGGCATGGAATGTAGTTTTTCGAGTCTCAGTTTTCTCATCTATAAAGTGGGGATAATAATAGTACCTACACAGGGTCCAGGTGAGGACTCAAGATGAAACGTGGAATGGTCCTAGCAGGGTGGCTGGCACATCCTATGTTCTCAGTAGCTGTCATTGAAATCATTACCACCACCACCATAATGATCCCCATCATGACCACAGCCACCACCACCATTATCCTTATCAACAGCATTCCCATGATTACCATCAGGACAGTCACCACCACCATCAACCTCATCAACAAAAGGAAGATCGAATGGTCTCCAAGTCCTACTCTCAAATGGACAGTTAAGTGGCAGATGTTGGAGTTGCCCTGGGCTACCTGAGCAGGAAATTTTTTTTGTTGTTGTTCTTTTATTGGTACATTTTAGGTATACAATTCATTTACATTTATTGTTGGGTGTTTGTACCTGTACATGATATATCTTGGTTCTTATTTTTTTCCTCATTACCCGTGAGCAGGAAATTTTTAATGAGAGTCTCTCACTGAAAGGGAACTAACTTTGTAGATCTTGATTCGTTGAGATTTTCTGTTTCTTTTGCAACACGAGTGCTTCCCCGTAGCAGCAGGAATAGGACCCTGAACTCAACGGGGTCCACTCCTCCTTTTATATCTCTCCCCTTTAATGATTCTATTCTCTTTTCCAGATAGTAATTTCACTTCAGAAAGCCAGTCTAGGTTTTCCTGGGGGGAGGTCTCTGGCCAAGGCTCAGATGTGTGGTTTGGAATTCCTAAAAATATCCAGCATCATCCCACTTTGGACCACATGCTGTCCTGGGGTGACTGTCAATTTCTTTGTTTGTCAAAACATTGTCAGACACGTTTTACATCATGAAATCCTAGTACCCCACAAATACTGATGTTGTTATTATTGCCTCTTCTGATCTTTAGGAAAATAAAGTATTCATATCCTTATTTTACAGATGGGACTTGGAAACATTAAATGACTTTCCCAAAGTTGTAAGGGGGCAGGAACTGGCTCCTGGAAACCTCTTAAGTGAGTGGTTATTTACCTAAGGCATCTTGCCCAGGAGATATTTCTTTATCCAAAGCCTTACCTTCCCTGCTCTGAGTTCCAAAAATTCCAAGGTACAGTTTAGAAATCTGCGGGAAGGTGGATGAGAATGGGTGAGCCAGGCTGAGCTTTGAGGGTGGAGGGAGACAGACCCTGGGAGAGCCTCATCCTGAACTCAGAGTTCTCTGAACAGAGCGCCAGTGGGGTAGGGGGTGTGTTGTGGGAAGGGTGCTGCGAAGTCAGAGCTCCTTTGCTTGGAGCGAATGACAATATTAGAACGAGTGTGTGGTAGGGAGGCTGTTACCGATTCGACTGTGTGAGGTCGAGAAGTCCCGTCTCCCATCCCTCTGGCCTCCCCCGTGCTCGGATCTAACCGTCCAATAACTTAACTTCTCGCCTTGGGGATTCGCGTCCCGCCTGTCCCCTCCTCCCCGCAGCCTAGCTCTGTCCGTGGTTCTGACCGCCAATCCCGGATTGCTGCTTCCACCGGCTGGGATCTCTCGTGCGCCAGCCTCTCCTCGCGGCCTCCCACTTCTCTCCCCAGGCACCGTACACATAAATCACGGGTGGAAGGCAGGCTTGGTTCCCCTGCGCTGGGAAGCTGCTGCCGCCCCTCCCTAGCTCGCGCTGGGTTTTGCGGTAGTGGTGACAGCTACTGCCGGATCGGGCACTGGGGAAGCAATTGATTCGTCTGCTGCCAGCAGCCTGGAGTTGCGTGC